ATGGCTATGAGAAAAGCCAAAAACATTTTCGAACGAAAATCACTCCCCATAGGAGCCGGTCCATGAGCTAGAGCAGTAAGCCGCCAACACCTTCTCTATCGGAGGGATCAGCCACCACAATAAAGGGCATACAAAAGATAGAGTTCCACATATAGTCTGAAGGATCAACTCCGTTGCAAAGGAGTATCCGGAAGACACAATCAAACGTCATCGCCCGAAGGATCAGCTTCATTGCAAAGTAGTATCTCGAAGGCAGGATTTACATCGTCCGAAGGATTAACCCCATTGCAAAGGGGTATCTAGAAGACACAACCCACCTTCATTGTCTGAAGGATTAACTCCTTGCAAAGGAGTATCTGGAAGACACAATCTACCGTCATCGCCCGAAGGATCAGCTCCGTTGCAAAGGAGTATCTCGAAGGCAGGATGAACATCGTCCGGAGGATCAACCCCGTTGCAAAGGGGTATCTGGAAGACAATCCACTTTTACCATTTGAAGGGTCAGCTTCCGCAGCATGGAAGTATCCTGAAGTCAAAAATCTACATGCACTTACATCAGCCAAAGGGTCAGCTACTGCATTAAAGGAGCATCCTGAAGCTTCACAAGTATCGTCCGAAGGGTTAGCCTCCATAGCAAGGAAGCATCCTGAAGACAGCACCAGACTGCACTCATGGTCCTGAGGGTCAGTTACCACGTCAAGAGGAGCATCCAGAGGACAACCGAGCAAGAGGGTTAACTCCTTCACCCGCCAATTGATCTTACGGTATATTAGCTCATGGTTAATTGGTCGGCTGAAAGGGGGACAGCTGTAGACCCCAAATCTTGCCCGGCTTCTCAATAAAGCACGAAAACCTCCGTTCAAAGGTGGAAAAAGCTTCTTTAGGCCCCTAGGCATGTTTACTAGGCTCCATGAAAGGATAGGAGGGCTTTTTGTACAGAGAAAATAGTAAAAAATAGGAAAATTTGTCAAGATACACGAGACGGTCGTCCCGTTTGGCGAGACGATCATCTCACTTTCCCTAGGTGACGAAACGACTGTCTTACCTCCATGAGGGTCGAGACGGTCGTCTCGTTTGGCCAGACGACTGTCTCGCCATTCAAGGAAGGTGAGACGACCGTCTAGATATCCCAAACGGTCGTCCCGGCCTGTTTGGTCACACAATTTCACATAGTTCTCACACTTCTACTACTCTCTTGAAAGTCTTTTGACACTTGAGAGTGACTCTGAACATTATTCCAGAGTGCGAGTGAGCTTTCTGATTTCCATTAAGGTAGAAATCGGTTAAGAAAGTCTCCTTTTGAGATGTCCAACCCTCAGTAGAGTGTTTCTTTTCTTTATTGCGGGAGAGGAGCGTGCTTGTAGAGTACGGGGATAGCCAAAAAGCGTCCTCAAGTTTTGAAGAATTAATACAAAGCTCGCTTTGGAGGTTCCTTTCCTTATTCTCTCTCTTTTACTGCTTTCCTTTATCGCTTTCCTTGTATGCATTAGATATTAGGGTCATGTAAACATTTAAATTTTGCAAGTAGATAAATAAATAGGGTAAAAACATAGTTTTTTTAGTCTTTATTTTATAAACTAGTCCATCATAGGGAACCCGAAAGGGGCGTTATGGGGTGCTAACACCTTCCCCACACGTAACTAACTCCCTTACCCAACTCTAGTTATAATGGCCAAAGTTGGTTTTCTAAAACTAACGCCTTTTTCTTTCTTTTTTAATGTTTACGGTAAAAATATCGGTGACAACTCCATCGAACCTTTTTCGAAAACCTTGCCTTTAGGTCCAGCCCGGTTATCGGACAATCTAAAGGCGTTGAACATCTTCTTTAAAAAACGCGAGTCAATCAAAATTATCGTATCGCTCTGACCGCCTCTTTTGACGGTGGCGACAAGGATGAAGACAACTTTCCTAGAGACAGCACAACACTCAATCCACTTATATACCCACTCAGTGATTCTTATCGCTTCTACCCCACACTAGGTTTTCAAAGCCCCTTTTTGTTCCCTACTCAAAGTTTTCTTAGCAATCACAGCTCTTAACTTTTGAGTATCAAAAAGGTTATATTACAAAGAGCATGAGGGACCTTTAAATAGAGTTTTTAGGGAGTTAGGTTTAAGGTTTTCGAAAATTAGGTTAAAATTCGAATTTCAAATTCATAACTGTCATAGATAATCGATTATCCTAAGTGATAATCAATTATTATAGAGCTAAATTATCAGAAAACAAAAGTTTGTCCAAGATAATCGATTATCTTGAGTGATAATCGATTATCACAGAGCCAATTTCAGAGCTTTAAGATTTTCCAGGATAATCGATTATCCTAAGTGATAATCGATTATCATAGAGCCAATTTCAAAATTAAGATTAATTGGATAATCGATTATCCCAATTGATAATTTATTATCACAGTACGTTTTTGAGAAAATATGAACCTTTTGTGAATAGACTAAGTGTTGGTTGTTTCAGACTCTATTTTTACAAACTCAAGTTGACTAAACAAAGTTATTACAAACGATTACAAATAAAATATGAGTCTTTTAATCTTAAAGTCTTTTGTTTTTGAATCATTATCAAAATCTTTAGACATAATATTCTTGCATCTTTAACAACATCTTATTTTATCTTTTTATGATTTTATGTTTGAAACAAAACTTCAATTAATTGAAATACTAAAATTTACAAAGTTTCACTACTACAAAATATACTTTCTACGTCGTTATTTAACGTCGGTTATAGCTGAGACGACGTAGAAAGTACTTTCCACGTCGGTTCTCAGATGAACCGACGTTGAAATTGAATATTAAACACATTCTACGTCGGTTCTTAGTCAACCGACGTAGAAAGTACTTTCTACGTCGGTTCCCATATGAACCGACGTTGAAAGTCTTTTTTTTATTTTTATTTTTTACTTATTGACACTTTCCACGTCCTTTCAGGGAACAACCGACGTGGAAAGTCTTTTTTTATTATTTTTTTTTCAGCCAACACTTTAGATAGCGGTTATAAGGGAACCGCTATCTAATATACACTTTAGATAGCGGTTATAAGGGAACCGCTATCTAATATACACTTTAGATAGCGGTTATAAGGGAACCGCTATTATATCCTCTCAATTATGATCGATCATTTCAAGTTATGATCGATCAGAATCTTATTTCGCTCGAGCGAGAGTAGTGTCGCTCAAGCGAAATACAACCCGAGAATGCCAATTTTGTGCGGAGGCGTTTCGCTCGAGCGAGAAGAGTGTCGCTCAAGCGAAATACATTTTAGATAGCGGTTACACGAGAACCGCTCTTAAAAGCTCACTTAGATAGCGGTTAACCTGGAACCGCTATTATATTGTTTCAATTATGATCGATCGAATGCGATTATGACCGATCAGAACCATTTTAATCGATTAAATCTCGTTTCAATCGATTAAAACAATTTCTACGCAAGCGTTTTAATCGATTAAAACTTATTTTTATCAGTTAAAATAACTTGAAAAGTTTTACGAGAAAGTTTTGCGAGTATTTCAATCGATTGAATCGCGAAACAATCGATTAAATCAACTTAGAAGATTTTTTGTAAAGTGTTTTAATTGATATAAACGTTGTCGTATCAGTTAAAACAAATCTGTTAAAGAATCAAGAACGTATTAATGGATTAAAAGAAGTTTTAACAGATTAAAACTGCACTTTTAACAGATTAAAAGAATCTTTTAACAGATTAATTAAACCAGCGAGTTTTGAAAATCTTCTATAAAAACAAGTTTGGCTTGAACTTTTTTAACATACATTGAATATATCATCTTTTACACATCCTTGAGCAATCAATCAATCGCTAATTGCGACCGAATTAAAGTGGGGGTTGGCTCGAGGTTAGAGTTCGACGTCACTAGGGTATGCGTTAGGGTTCGAGCTCCGCTGGGTTTGCGTTGGGTTTCACGAGCATGACAATTGGGTTTGGCTTGACATTGGGGTTTGATGTCGCCGAGTTGGGGTTCGGCCTCGAGTTCGTCGAGGTTGAGGCTGGGGTTGAGATTCGAAGTTGCTTGGGTTTTGATTGGGTGTTTTGGTCACTCGGATTTGAGATTCAAGGTCACTGGGTTGGATTTCAAGCTTGAGGTCGAGTCATGCATGCTTGGGTTAAAGATCTTCGAGCTTGGAATCGGATTTGAGATTCAAGGTCACTTGGGTTGGATTTCTAGAAGTGATATTTACACGGATATATATTTATTTGTATATAAATATAATTTATTTGTATGTTATTATCAAAAAATTCAAGTAGTTTAGTGGTTGGAGTATCGACCTCCAACTCTAAAGATCTTGGGTTCGAATCCTGCCAATGACAATTCTCTTAAAAATTAAAAAACTTCTAAAAAATATAATATAAAGAGATGTATGACCTAATAAAAATATAATATGAAGAGAGGGGAGACTTCTAGATAAATAAAAGGGGTAAAGGGGTTGTAAATAAATAAAAATTATTAATTTAAAAAATCATACTTTCAACGTCGGTTTAATTAGAACCGACGTTGAAAGTTATGACTTTCAACGCTCGGTTTATTAGAACCGACGTTGAAAGCTTTATTTGTAGTAGTGTTTTCCGACATATTGAAAAATCAATCATAAAAAATATTGTTAGATGTCAAATTAGTGGTGAAATATCTTAAAAATTAAAAATATGATAATAAAATATTTATCCAATTCTTTTTTTTAAAATGATTTTACATTACACTTCTCCGAATTCATTTTATAATCGAACTCAAGTAGAGAAGATTTTTCACGAATAATATTTTAAAAGAAAAACACAAATTAATTTAATAAATATAAAAAAAAGTACAATTATGAAATTTAAATGTTTTAATGAAATACTTGGGTGCCAATTAGGAAGGATAGCTACAACAGAATTAAAATTTTCGATAAAAAAAGTACAATTATGGTAAAATTATTCTTACAATAATAAATACTTTTAGATTACCTGTAACACATATTTATAAATTAACTACTCTTAGCTAGCTCCCAGCTAAGTACAGGAGTGGACATTACGTGTCAAAAGTTAAATTTCCAAGTGACGCAACGGATTCTACATTATTGGTTTGCGTGATACTTTCTAGACAATGTAAACACTGTATGAACATCCAAAATTGTCTATTAATATCCTCCCAAATAAGCACCGAATGGATATTCAAAATTGATTTTTCTTTTATTTTTCAATTATATTATCCCTATGATATTTTAATCTCACTTTGGATTAAAAGAAGAGATTTGATAGAGTAAAAATAAAAAAATAGAATTATTTAAATTTAAAAACAAAAAATAAAAGATAAAAAATAAATGAAAATGAAATAATTTAATTTATTATTTTAATGTTTTTATTTATTTATTATCATTTAAAAAATTCTCATAATTGATTGACTAACTCATATAATAGATTATAATATTGATTTTGACAGTTGTAGTCTTTACCCTCTGTATTTTACTGTTTTTCTGTGTTATTTTAAATTCTATAATAAAATATTTCTGTTAATTTAAGTTCTGTAATAAATATTATGAATCCATAGTACATCAGCATTCTTTCTATTTATCCAAACCATGTCCCTCCTGCAAATCCGTTTAAATATGCATCTCTTCCCTCCCTTCCTTTAGATCCAAACGAAGGCAAGTAGACATACTCTGTAATTTTTCCTTCTGATTCCAATTTTACTTAATCACTTGAGAGAAAGATGGGTGGTTGTGAAAATCATCGTCTACACATTTTCTTCTTCCCCTTCTTGGCTCATGGCCATATGATACCAACAGTTGACCTGGCAAAATCATTTGCTGAAAAGGGTGTGAAGGCCACTGTAATCACCACACCCCGCAATGCACCTTTCGTCTCCAAAGTCATTGGAACATCCAAAAGTAATGACAACAGGATCCACATTCAAACCATCGAGTTCCCTTCTACAGCGGCTGGTTTGCCGGAAGGCTGTGAAAACATTGACTCGGTCCCTTCTCCAGATCTGATTCATACATTCTATATGGCCGCCACTTTGCTACAAGATCCGCTTGAACAACTATTACTCAAGGAACGTCCAAATTGCATTGTTGCTGATATGTTCTTCCCATGGGCAACTGATTCTGCTGCAAAATTTGGAATTCCTAGGCTCGTCTTCCATGGGACTTGTTTCTTCTCCTTGTGTGCTATCACGTGTATGAGATTCTACGACCCTGACAACGATGTTTGTTACGATTCTGGGTCGCTCGTCATTCCTAATCTACCGGGTGAGATTAAAATAGAAGGGATGTCGGTGGCACCTTACAGGCGTCCGGGAACAGCCATGTTCAAATTGTTGGCGGAAGCAACAGAATCAGAGTTGAGGAGCCATGGAGTTGTTGTGAATAGCTTCTACGAACTTGAGAAGGTCTATGCAGATTATTTCAGCGAGGTGCTTGGAAGAAAAGCATGGCATATTGGTCCCTTGTCTCTTTGCAACAGGGACATGGAAGAAAAGACAAATAGAGGAAAGGGGGCATCTGTGGATGAGCATGAGTGTCTAAAATGGCTTGACACAAAGAAACACAAATCAGTTGTTTACGTATGCTTTGGAAGTACAGTAGTGTTACCTGATTCTCGACTTAGAGAGATTGCTACGGGTCTTGAGGCTTCAGGCCAACAATTCATGTGGGTGGTGAGGAAAAGGAAAGAAGATGGAGTTGAATGGCTACCTGATGGATTTGAAAAAGGGATGGAAGGTAAGGGATTAATCATAAGAGGGTGGGCACCTCAACTATTAATTCTTGAACATGAGGCCATTGGAGCATTTGTGACTCATTGTGGATGGAATTCAATCTTGGAAGCAGTGTCTGCTGGGGTTCCCATGATAACCTGGCCAATTTTTGCGGACCAATTTTTCAATGAGAAGTTGGTGACCGAAGTCCTTAAAATTGGGGTACCAGTTGGTGCCAAAAAATGGGTTGGAGTGGAAGGAGATAATATTACATGGGATGCAGTGGAGAAGGCAGTTAAGAGGATAACGACAGGGGAAGAAGCCACTGACATGAGGAATAGAGCAATGGAGCTTTCAAAGCTAGCTAGGCGAGCCATGGAAGAAGGAGGATCATCCCACTCTGACTTAATAACTTTAATTGAAGAGTTAAGTTCCTTGACTTTCTAATATTACACTCTAACATCATCTAAACTTCAACTGTCTGAGCTAAAATAGTTATGAAGCCCTGCCTACTTAAATTTAAAAGATAGATGATAGTTTTCGTCATTTGTGTTATGGCATTTTTATGTTTTGGTAAATTAAGTTTTTAAAGTTTTAGTAATGTATTTTGTGTTTTTAATTTGGCTACTTTTATTAATGGATATATTTAAAAGTTTTAATGATATAATATTTTGTATTTTTAAAATGTTTATTTTGATTTTTTTCTGATTTAAAAAAAAGAGGTTATTTTGGTCTCTTGAAACTAAAGGCCTATTTAATGTTTTCATCAAAAACTTAAAATAAATATTTTTAAAAATCTAAAATATCAATTGAAACTTTAAAACTTTAATGAACTGAAACGTGAAAAGACCTCAGTAAAATTTCACATTATTCAATGCTTACTTGAACGTAACTATATCATATTATAACATTATTTATGTATTTATTTAATCTCGGAAGGCTACAGTTTTTCTCTAAACAAGACAAATTTCACATCGAAGCCTCACATATTTATAGAAAATTTTTCACTAGAATTATTTAAAAATAAAATTAAATATTTTATTATGAATTTATAGTTGAAAAATAAAATTAAAAATAAAATTAAAAATTTTATTATGAATTTATAATTGAATGATTTAAAATATGATCAGAATCAAAACAATTTTTTTTAAGAATTTATTTTACTTTTAAATCACTCAAATATAAAATTCATAATAAAATATTTATTTTTATTTTTAGTCATTTTTATTAGAGATGCTAAATAAACAATATTTTAAACGTTTTATTAAACTGGGCAAGATGTTGGTTTGATGGGTTACCATTTAAATTAATTGGTGTTAAACCGCATGAATCCTTGAATATACGAGCATTTGAAAGAACAAAATATTGAATTTAATGCCTAAATATATAAAAAATTTAGCATTACATCTTGTTATAAGATTCTTGTAACAATTTTGTAATTACAGTTTTAGGATTAATTTGATAACAAACAAGTTACAAGGGACTATATTATTATGGAGTTATAATATTAGAAACCAATTTAATATTTTATTACACCTTCAAAAATTAACTTAGTCTTTTCGTTCTTTCGAAGATTAAATTAGCAGTTTTCACACGTTCAAAAATCAAATTAGTCAATTCACCTTACAAATAATGATAATATTAATAAAATTATTACGAAAATATTGTTAGGGGAAAAACTGTATCCTACCATTGTATTGTCTCCTATCTCAATGGACTTGATTTTCTTTTAAAAAAGCTATTAGTGAATGGAGAATGATATTTCTAGTGCAACATACATTTTATTTGGAACACCCTCTTTCATTCATCTCATTTACATTTAAAATTTCTAGTGGGCCAAGGCCTCCCCAATTCAACATGGTTCCGTCTGATGATCATCATGATGTTTGATTGTCGGATATTTCGAAGAAAAAGATTGTGTTTCATCCGCATACTTTAAATCAGCGACATAAAGTACGAGATTTTTGTTTCTATTACTTTCTCACATATTTCATCCATACAAAATATTCTAACAGCACAAGTAGATGCATGAAAAAAAATAATTAATTCGTTAAAATCGGGTCGCATTTATGTAAGCGATAAAAATTATATGTTAACCCACAAGTAAAAGATATTTCATTAATTTTATTGATGATTTTTTTTAAATATTTCTATGTATATTTAATTAATCACAAAAATAATTGTTTAATAAATTTAAAATATACAAATCGGATATAGAAAAGCAATTACAATCAATTATTCACGAAGTGACTCATGTATATATGCTCATCAATTTTAATGAAAAAAAAAAAGAATATTGCTTGTTATTGTGAACACACCTAGTATATCTTTAATAATAACTATATGAGTTTTTGTCATCTCCCATCTATCCCATCGCTTATTATGTTAATATTAATAATACGAAGATTTAATTAAAATATAACGATAAAATTATCTTAAGCATAAATATATAGTACAAAATATTTTTTTATATAAAAATTTTACAAGAAAAATTGAGTTGATCGAAGTAGGTTCGAATTTTTCCTACCTTAAAGGTAAGGGTGGGATGTGGCATAGTCCTTGTCTCAGTCCATCCCTGTCAGATTTTATATTTAAATATTTAAATTTAAATTTTAAAAGTATTTTTTTCTTTTTTATTACATATAAAATCATTTTTTTTATATTTTATAATTTTTACTTTTCTTCTATTTAGTTTTTAATTCTTTTGTCTCTTTTAATTTTTTCAACCAATTTAATGACACACAAAGTTAATTTTTTTTATTTACTTTTTCTAAATATTTTAGATAAATCTTAATAGTAATTAATATTATTTTATTTATAATTTATCTTTATTAAGTTTTATTATGTCATATTTTTTTGTTCTTATTATTCTTATTTTTTAATTAAATAAGAATTAACTTATTAAATATTTTTTTATAAATTATATATTTCATATTTTCAAATAACAAATTAAAAAAGAATTAATTTATATATGTAATCAAATATTTGAATACAGTATTATAATAATAATAATAATAATAATAATAATAATATTATTATTATTATTATAAATATTTTATATCTATATAAAGAAAAAATATTAAATATTTATTTTACGTACATATATATTTTAATATAAATATATATTTAATTAATAATAATTATAAATTATAAAATTATAATTGATCGATTTTTATTACCTTCGATTTATGAATTTGATCGATTTCCTCCTCTTTCAATTTCGAGAAAATGATTAATATTTGCCTCTGATTTTTGTATCACCTAAGTCATCAAGCTAACACTTTGATTTTCCTCCATCGAAATCCATTTCCAATAATCCTTCTCATCAATAACAACATCTCTATTGATGATGATCTTTTTCTTAATAGAATATACAACTTATATGTACCTGTTGAATGATATCCTACCAAAATTAGCTTCTGGTTTCTGTCATTGAGCTTATTCATTCTCTCCTCTGGAACATGTCTCCATGTAATCAAGCCAAATATTTTAAAGTGTTTTATATTTAGCTTTCTCCTAGACCATACTTCTATTGGTGTTTTATCTTTTACTCTCTTCGTTGGACATTGATTTAAGATATACACGGTTGTTGATACCACTTCTTCCCAAAGTGAATGTGACAAGTCTTTTGTCTTCAACATACTTCTGACCATATTTAAAATCGTTCGATTTTTCTTTCCGCAACTCAATTGTGTTGTGGTGTGTACGGGGATATTATCTCATGCATAATACATTTCTTCTTGCAAAATAATGTAAACTATATTATTGTACTCACCACCACCATCTGATCTCAATACTTTGATAGTTATACCACTTTGTTTCTCAATTATCGATTTAAAATTGACATAACGACTAAACATCTTTGATTTCTTCTCGAGCAAGTACGCTCACATCTTCTTGATATAATCATCAATGAACGTCACAAAATACGTGTTTCCACCTAGTGAAAGAACATC